TGGCAGCTTTTAGCCAAGTTTACTATAAGAATGAGGAACAGAAAATAGAACAGAAAGTTCTGAGAAATTTGGAGGTGAGCCAGAAAATTGTGAGTACAACTAGGGGCTACAGAAAATATGGTAGTTAAAGAGATTGCAGCCACTAAAGAAACACTAATTACTTCACTCAGATACAATAGGAAAATAGCTGGAGGGAATCTCAGGAACTGGCAAGACCACATCCATCTCAGATTAAAGGGAATAAAATTAAAATTTTCTTGAGCAGACACCAAGAGTGTACCCTACTTGCATAGCAGTTCTTATAAATTAGTTTCACCATGGTCGGCCACCCAGGCACTAAGAGGCTGCTGCAACAAGGGGCACAGGAAGCTTGGCTACTGCTTGAGATGGCATCAGAACTTGGTGTTAACCATGAGGTGCTGGTTCTGCAGGAATGTACAGTGCTGGAATTAGAAGGTCGCAGAGATTTCCAGTGACATTTCAAAGGAAGGTCTGGGAGGCCAGGAGAAGTGCAGCAGGATTTAAGTTCATGTGAGCAGCCCCTGATACGAACATGCATGGAGATATGAGGAAGAGGTCAAGAAGCTGTAGTGCAGATCATCAAAATTAAGAAACACCAGTAATATGGGATGTCTGCCAAGGAAAGTAAAGGAATCAAGAAGATACAACAAGCAAAGCCACAGGGGTGGAGCTACTACACAAGACCTTTGGAGAGAACATCAGGATGACATGTGGACATGGAGATGGGCATGGATCTACAGAACTTGTTTGCCCAACTGGATTTCAGTTTTGCTTTGGTCCAATTCCTTCTTTCTATGCCCTAATTTCTCCCTTTTGGAATGGTATCATTTGCTTTGTCATGTAAGTTGCTTTTAATTTTTACAGGAGTCATGCGGGGTTTGCCTTGAGTCTTGTTGGAGATTTTGAATTCGGACTTTTGAAAAATCTAAGAACTGTTAAGGCTACGGGGGCTCTCAAAAATGGACTAAATGTATTTTGCATTGTTAGATGAGCATGAATTTTAGGGGTCCAGGGGCAGAAAGTTATGGTTTAGATATGAGATGCTCCCAAATGCTCATGTGTGAGACAATGCAAGAAAGTTTAGAGATGGAATGTTTGGGTTATGAGAGGCTTAATTTAATTAGTGGATTAATCCCTTTATAAGGATTAACTGGGTGGTAACTGTAGGAGAAAGTTTGTGACTGGAGGAGGTGGGTCATTGGGAGTGTGACTTTGGGGTATATATTTTGTACCTGGAGAGTGGGTGCTGTTTTTCTCTGGTTCTGGTAGCCATATCCTGACCTACTTTCCTCCATCACCCTCTTTTGCCATAATCTTCTCTGTCCTCTTGGGCCCAGAGCAATGGAGCCAAATGTTTATGGATTGAGACCTTTCAAACCAGGAGCACCAAATAAACTTTTTCTCTTCCAAATTTTTTCTTGTCATGTTCTTTGGTCACAGCTATGAAAAAACTGACTAAAACAATTGTATTGGGGCTGGGGATGTGGCTCAAGTGGTAGCACACTCGCCTGGCATGCGTGCGGCCCGGGTTCGATCCTCAGCACCACATACCAACAAAGATGTTGTGTCTACCGAGAACTAAAACATAAATATTAAAAAATTCTCTTTCTCTCTCCTCTCTCACTCTCTCTTAAAAAAAAAAAACAATTGTATTCATAGAAACTTCTAAAGATTCCACAAGCAGACTTTTAGAACTGATAAATAAATTTAGTAAAGAATCAGTATAAAAATTGTCATACAAAATTCAGTAGATTTTCCACAGACCAATAATGAGCTCACCAAGAAATAAATTAGAAGCAAATAAATAAATAAACAAACAAACAAACCAATAATATGAGGATAAATCCAACTAAGGGTAAGAAAATACAGTGAAAATTACAAAGCACTGAAGAAAGAAAATAAAGATACAAGAAATTGGAAAGACCCCCAGTATTCATGAATTGGAAGAATTAATCTTGCTACTTTTGCCATATTATCCAAAGTTCTCTACAGATTCAGTATTCCCATTAAAATTCCAAAGACTTTCTTCACAGAACTACAAAAAAGAATCTTAAATTTCACGTGGAAGTATAAAATACCCTAAACAAACAGGGTGTTCCTGAGCAAAAAAGAGCAATGATAGAAATGATAGAGGCATTTCAAAACATACTATTGAGTGATAGTAATAAAAGCAGCATACTATTGGCATAAAAACAAACAGACAAACAAAACAAAACAAAATAATTATAGACCAATGGAACAAAATACAAGACACAACCCAGAAATAAATGTTTGCATCTTGAACCCACTGGTTTTCATCAAAGTGGCCAAAAACATACATTGAAGATAAAACAGCCTTTCAAACAATGGTTCTGAAGAAACTGGATATTCACGTGAGGAAGACTCAAACTAGACCTCTCACTTTATTCAGAAATCAACTAAAAATGAATCAAAGCCATTAATATAAGACCTGAAAAAATTAAACTACCATAAGAAATTATAGGAGAAAAACTTCAAGCTATTGGAACAAGAATGTATGTATAGGACTCCTGTAGCTCAGGAAACAAAAACAACAATTGACAAATGTAATTAGAAAAAATTACAAAGCTTCTGCACAGCAAAGGAAGCAATCAGCAGACTGAAGTGTCAAACTACAGATTGTGAGAAAATCCTTGCCATCTGCTCATCTGATAGAAGAGTAATATCCAGAATATATAAAAACCTAACCACCACCACCAACAACAAATTACCAATAAGTCAATCACTGAACAGAGAAATTATCTGAAAAAAACTACTCTACAAAAGAGGAAGTATGAATGGCCAATAAATATATGAAAAAGTGCTCCATAACTTTAACCATCAGCGAAACATAAATCAAAACTACATTGAGAATACTTTCCCATCTAGTCAGGATGACTAGTATCAAAAAACAAAAACATACCAAAAACAAATTATGCTGAGATTAGGAAGAAAGGGAATCCTTCTACAGTATCAATGAGAATATAAATTTTTGTATGTACTATGGAAGACACTTGGGAGTTTCCTCAAAAAACTAAAAGCAGAACTGCATTAAACTCCACTCTTTTATATTCACCTGAAGGAAATAAAATCAGCATAAAAAAGAGATATCTAAATGTCCATGTTTATTGTTGCACTATTCACAGTATCCAAGATATGAAATCATCCTGAGTACCTGTCAACATTTGAATGGAATGAAAAAATAAATGATATATGTATAAAATAAAGAAGAATAGCATCCTGACATTTGGAATAAAATGGATGGAACTAAAATATATCATGATAAGCAAAATAAACCAGACATAGAAAGACAAATATCACATGTTCTCTATCAAATGTGGAAATTAAAAATACAAAAATCCAAATATAAAAACAAAGTTGACCAGAAAATAATAATGGAACTTTTATGAACTGGAAAGAGCTTGGGTGAGGAGAGAGGAAAGGGGTTAAAGGAGGATAAGAGAATCATAACTTGATATATAAATGTATGGAAAAGTTGCAGTGAAACCTATTAATATGCACAAGTGATGCATGTTAATTATAATAAAACATTGGTGGAACTTAAAAATCAATAAAAAATGGGATGGAATTTTCTGGATGAAGTAAAGATACATTACTATAAATATGAAAATATTTTTATCTAGGATCACATGAAAAAAGATGAATGAAATGTATCTCATGATAATGTTTAGACAATTTCTAATGCCATGCATATATTTATACAGTGAAAAATTTTGCTGAGTGGTAACATTTGAGCACTTAGTACTCAGAACAGGGCATGCTATTTTGCTGCTGCTGCTGAAAGATTTCTAATGGCAACTTAAAACTCCTTTAAGATTGAAATCATACATTATTTTTAACTTTTAAATCATAATAGAGTTTGAAAATGGATGTAGTAACCTGAATTGAAGGAAGAATCAACCTGTGTCTTCATAATTGCAAAGAAATAGCATAGGAGCAAAAGTGGCATACATTTATATAAATGTATCATTTTGCACTCTATACATTGGAATTGAAATATTTTTGATGACAAGGTACTTATTCTCTAGTTCTTATGGAAATCTTTCTACTAGTGAAATAGAGGCAGATTTCTGTCTTCCACTTTTCTAATTATACACTGGGTATTCATCTAGAGTAAATGAAAATTTCACTCATCACTTAGTAAAGTCATATTATGGCATCCCTGAAGACTTACCATTAGACCAAAACTGTCTTCTTCACATCACCATATAGAGAAAACATGTACCAATCTGTATAATGAAGTTGTACACTAATAAAATAATTAAGAGTTATTTCACTACTCAATACTTGATAATCTTGAGTGATAAATATGATATTTGTAAGCTTCAATAAAGGTAACTTCAAATTATTCCATTCTTATGTAAGGATATAATCTTATATGAGTAATAAACATTGTCAAGGTTGATAACATGTATTATTATTTAGACTCAAGATACTAAAATTACAATGTATTTACAAAGTGTTTATGAAGATAGATAAAGTTATTTCAAACAGAGAAGAGAAAGCAAACAATTGTGTTCATTCATGCAGAGGGCAATTGGAACTGATTGTTGTGAACATGTGGGAAATTTCAAAAACTAACAGAAGTGAAAAATGCTTTTCAACAGAAAAAGCCTGTTTGTTTAAAATTAAGTAAAATATAAAACTATTTTGCTTTGAAAAAGTAAATAACACAAAATACAGAAAAATCTAGACCAAAAGAATAGCAACAGTACATTTTTAAAAGGTGTGTAGAGATATATTTATTTTGTTTAAATAATTCCAACAATTATTTATTATACACCTATTATGTGCAATCATTGAGTTAGATTCTGAGTATAGAACAACAAGAAGGTACTCACAGTATATACTGGAAACATTTACAGGAACCCAGTAAAATACTATACAATAGTAGAGATGTCTCTTAAGTTTGATGAAAAAAACTGAAAAAGGCAACTTAAACTCTTTGGGTTTATACTCACAGTTTCTGATATACTCTTGTTCTCCTTTACAATATCTATATTTCTTATGCAATGCTTGATCTTCTCACTTCAGACTCAGCCTCAGATACAGAAGCAGCAATTGTAGATGTGATGTGTGAGCACTCAATAATTTTTTTTGAATAAATCTTTGTAATGGGTTGTTACATGCCGTTATTCCTTCTGTAATAAAACTGTGAATGACATGAATAAGCAAAATTGAGCTGGATTTTCTAAACCTATCACTATAAGCTGCAAAACATAATAGTCTATCAGCTCTCTCAACTTCAATGATATGGGTGAACTGCAGAAGACACTGGTGCTCTTTGTCAAGAGCATACATGCATACCTGGCCCAGCAGTCAGACAAGCTGAAAGAGGAGATTTGGCAGGGGGAGGAGAAAGCCCAACCACTGCCCATCACCACAAGGTAAGTCAGCAGAATCACAGCACTGTGCTTGAGCTGCAATGAGTGTAATTCTACATAGACATTTTTAGCTTCACTAAAGCTATTATTGTTCACGTCCACATTTCTAATCTATACATATTTTTTTTCTGTAGCAGACAACTCCATTAAAGAGTCATAGATGGAAAGAAATTCAGAGAAACATTGCTCCAGCTTAGGAAAACTGACAGTGTTCTTGCCATCCAGATTAATAGATCCTTATAAATCCTTGTTAATTGTACATGAGTTCCAAAACAATGCTTTCTCCTAATCTGATTTTATTGTTCCCTGTACAATTATAAACATACAAATCATCATGTTGAAAGAATTTACAAAATCTTTTTATTTGTCTTTGGCTAATGCTCATTCCTCCCCAGGATAAGTCATACTTTTTCATCATATTTTATAACTTACATATTGAAACATAAAGTTAACTATTTTAGCACATTTTATGTTAGTTGATTAGAGAATGGGAAATAGAAAGGGAAAAGTTTAAGTTATACCAAAATACATCCTTTACTGAAATAAATATGAAATATTCGTAGCTAACTACAGCCCTCATTTAAGCATTGAAATCATAGGGCCATATGTGATATTGTTCATTACCTTTTCTCATTACCATTCTGTTTCCCTCAGTAATCACTGTAGCTGGTTGTGGTTCCTTGTGGAGTCAAATGAATAAAATCTTAATTCCTAGAGATGTGGGTCATTAGATATTCTAGCTCTATCTGGTTGATGTGATTTTCCATTGATATTAATCACAGAGTATGGGGATAGCTATAGGAACAGCTAGAAGTGAAATATTTTCTTCTTTATGCAACATTTTATTGTAAAATTTTTACATGATTTCTCCTTTTTAATGGTGATCACAGGTACCACATTGTTGTCTATTTATTTATTGGCATGAGTAGCTCAAAAAGGTCACTTGGCAGACTCAATTTCCAGTTACTTGGAACCATTGTGTGTCCTCTAGCATAAGTTTGCTTTGCTGATATTGATTTATAATATAAAATGCATGTTTATATGTACAAAAGTAATATTTAAGGTTTTTTTTTTCTTTTCTTGGGTCTTATGCTTTCCTTGTGTGAGTACCATTGTCATTATCAAATGAGTTGAAAAGTTTTCCTTAAATATCCTCCCCAAACATTTGTAAATTACCTGTTTGATGGATTAACAGGATTTTCTCCAAGAATATATTTGAATTTAGTCCTTCAGTAAATCATTATGTTCCTTTTCAATTTATCCCTGTTTAAAAAATTTATCTTATTTTCTCCTACATTTTGAAAATGGAATTTTCCTTTAAGGAATTAACCTACAGGCTAACAAATACTGTCCTACATATAGAATCTCTTCTCTTAGATTTTGCTGTTACTTTTTAGTTCCTCTGGGAAAAGACATTTTTGGATGATAATTCTTTCAGTACCTAGGTTCTAAGATATTTTTAGTACGTTAATCACATAGTCTATATTTGATAAAAAACAAGGTATATTCAAAGATCATTCTTTTACAAGTGTCACATTCTATTTCACTTGTGGCTTTTAATTTCATTCATGTTTTTACATGCATAACCTATAAAAACTGTACAGAGAATGACATACATGTATCTTAACTGAAAACAGTAAAATAGCATGCTTACATTTTTCTAAAATATAGGATATACCACTGACATTTCAGTGTAAATGCTTTGCTTCTAACTAAGAAGGAGGCATGAAGCCATTAAATGTACTTAAAGTTATTATGTTTTCTTTTAATATTCATCATATATTTATGTATTATAAATATCTCTCTAATAACTAATATGTGACTGGTAATGATCTAAACTTGGAAATCTAGCAGTATAAAATAGGCAGAATTTTTCTCTTTCAGCACTTACTATATACTGCCTCTCACTTTCTTGATTAGTTCTTATGTCAAATAACCTTGTATTCTACTTACCTTCATAGACTTCATTACAACTTTATTCCCTAGATCTTTCTATAGTCAGTGACAGTTAAACCATCTTCTTACACGGATTTCAATTTCCATTGTGCTATTATCTGGGTAGCACCTTCTATTTTCCAGCTTGCCCAATGTGTTATTCTAGTTACAAAGATCTTTCTAACTCTCAATGATCTACAATCCATGCTTCCATATTGTTCTGGTTTCATAATATCATTATGTCTTTTCCATCAATTACTTGACTAAATTCCATGAGCAATTGTTACAATCATCCTCAATTCCTTGAAACTCTTATTTTTCATACTAAATTGGTCAAAATACAACCCTGGTCCTGTATTATAACACCAACTTGTTGAATTATGAACAAAAAACCCCCAAAATGGTGCTGAATCTTCTTATTTAAATCCATGATCATTAAATTCAATGTAATCTGTTGTCTTACAATGAATATATTTCTCTAATCCATTAAGTCCCTGAGTTTGAAATATAACTATTTTAATTTTTTCTGGCTTGCATATTACCATTCATATATACTTTTCAACCTTAATTCCTTTTCCCCTTTCAATTTTAATGTCACTCTTTTGCTGCTATTGCTGTCATTGCTATATCAAAGTACGTTTTGTCAAGGTGTGAAAATCACCAGTGATTTGGTTTCCTTTTTATTATAAAGATGCAATAAAAAGTATTTCTGACCAGGAACAAAGATGTCAGCTGCTAATCACCATACAGACCTGGGGAATCATAATTCTTATGCAGAACCTCTGTTGTCCTTATTTGGAAAGAACGACAACCCTTCCCTTTTCCAAACTTTCTATCCCATGATTTCTAAGTTGCTAAATATAATGACCAATTCTTTATTCTGATCTTGAGAAAAAGTAAATTTAATAGGATTCTCAGATTATGAAAGAACATGACTTCCCTTGATGTCCATGTATCTTATTAGGTTGGCTCCTTCCCCATCTACCATATTTTTTTCCTTTGTTTCATTCTTTTAATTTCTTTGTATATAAATCTTGGAGCACTCAAAATGTCTACTATTGAAATGTTTTATTTTCAGTTGACACTCTTTCTCAGAACTTTCATTCTGTCTCATACCCTGCATAATTTTACATTTTGTAGAGTTACAGATTTAAGTTTCTAGCAAGAATATCTTACCCAGTTTTGACATACTCACTGCCTATTTGATATCCCTGACTTGAATGTCTAGTAGGTATTTATAAATTAAAATCTCACAACCCACATTCCTATGATGTTCTCTTAGCTTAAAAATATCACTATCTTGCTTTTACCATTTTAATTATTATAAGTTTTGTTTTTCTATTTGGTCACACCAAAATCTTTGGAGTCCTCCTTGACTGACTGCTTTTGGTTTTGGTTTTGGTTTTGGTTTTCTCTCACATTTTACAGGTATATATAGTAGTCTTGTGTGCTTTATATTAAAATCCTTAATCTGAACATTTTTCAATGTCTCTGATGTTATCAACCTAATTCAAGACCAAAAAGATCAAATATGATACCGATAAAACTTCTCAACTATTCTGTCTGCCTCTGAACTTTACTGGTATCTCCATTGTCTTTAAAACAATGTTCAGATGGTACCACATCAGCTCCCAATCTTCCTATAGAGGTGTCAAATCTTTCTTAGCGTTAAAGTAAAAGACTTTCCAGGTTCACAAATCTCTACACAATCATTAGCTCTGTAGGTGTACTCTGGGAGTTTTGCTTAAATGCACTGGGACCCCTTTCCTTGGTTCTGTGTAACCTCCCAGCCTCTAACTCTATTAATACACAGCTGCAACTCTTTTTGGAGGACGTCCTTTGGCAGCTGCAGCCATTGCCTTGGGAGAGCTGATTTTCTCTGGAAATTTGCATTCTCTCAGGCAGCCTTTGGTTTTAGGAATAATTTGAGCTGGAGTAATTTCAGCCATGTTACCATAGTTTGTATCAAATTTGAGTAGTAATTCATACTCCAGAGCTTCCCTGAAGGATCAGATTGATTCAGGGAGTCTGCCTAAAATCCTCATCCTGATTTTATTCTTTCTCTTCCTATTTTTTTTTTTAATTTCATTGAATTATCCTGGTAACATTTCCATCAAAAAATTACTTATGTATGTATACTCAGAGGTCTGTTTCTGGAGTTCTAAACCTAGGATAACTCTTTTTTCAGATGACCTCTTTGCCCACATCTTTATCTTTTATTTTACTTGCCATTCTCTCGGCTCAAACTTTCTTTTCTATTCTTTCCCTCCATTCATAGGAAGTAAGTTCTTTCCTCATCTTTGAATTTGTCCACTACTTCTGAATTGCTCCTCCTAGAACTATTTGCCTGGTGAATGTATCATATCTTTGCACAAATTACACAAACTCAAATAAACTACTCCTTTAAATACAATAATATTCCTTACTCCCAAAGAATGCTATCTGCCTTGCTGTCTGTTTTCTCCATTGAAATTAATAACCTATAAAGTATAATCTGTGTTATAGATGATTCTTTATTTACTGTCTTTTATCATTAGAATAAAAAGGCCCTAAAGCTAAAGTTTTGTATAAATGTGAAGAACCCTAAACAGTTGTTGGTCCACTAATGGGATATGAAAACTAGCTTTTGGATGAATTCAATAAATACACATTCAAGGAAAATATGTGAATGCTTTTGTGTTGATATATTTGTACAGAAAAACATACTATACATATTGTTGTAGAACATGTTTTTGTCCTTTACATTGTGTTTTTGAGATAAATCTATAATCAGTTAATAATAATATATATAGATAAAATTCATTCATGCCAAATATATTATTGCTTTCTATTT